CTCACAGCCCGTGAAGTTTACAGCTGAGTTTGGTGTCAGGTGGTCGCCCGAGGAGTTCGTCGAGCAGGCGTGCAATGTTGAACACCCCAGCAGCCTTTCGAACCTGCTCCCAGCAGACCTTGAAACCGCTGTTCGTAAAAACTTTGAGTTGGGCGAGCACGCATTGGGGCAGCATCGGACCGAGCTGATCAGAAAGTGGATTGCACGGGCGAACTCCCTCGTTGGTGAAGAGGATGCGCTGCGAAAGGGAATGTCCGATAACCGGCGTCACATCCTTGCACAAAAACGCCTGATCCTGTTCAGGACCCTTCTTGAGGATGCCGAGCACGCTGACCAAGGCCTCTTCAACGACTTAGTGCAAGGGTTCGACCTAGTTGGTAAGTTGCCTGAAAGTGGATTCTTCAAGAAGAAATTCAGACCAGCCAGCATGCTCGAAGCAGACTTGCGACAAGGTGCTGATCGTGCAAGGGAAGCCACTCTGGCGACTGTTGGGCCAGCGGATGATCCTGTCATCGACGAAGGTGTGCTGCAAGCGACCCTTAAGGAAGTAGACGCCGGTGTAGTCGAGGGACCCATAGACCCCAGCACGCTTCCTGAGGGAGCCACGCTTACCCGCCGTTTTGGTGTGGTTCAGGGAGAGGTTGATGGCGCGCCCAAGGTGCGGCCAATCGATAATTATAGGGCCTCTAGAGTTAATGCTGCCGTGACGCAATCGGAGCAAGTCACGGTCCACACTCTTGACGTGGTGGCGGGCATGATTTCGTCTTGGCTAGCCCGCGCCAAGGCCCATCGTGTCCGGTCTGCGATGAATGCCAAAACGTGGGACCTTAAGGCTGCGTATAAACAACTGCCTCTCAGTGACACCGCATTTGCTCGAGATGCCTACTTCGTGATCTACGACCCAAGGAGCCAGAAGCCCGCTGTGTTCAAGCAGCGGGCTCTCCCTTTCGGATCGCGAGCTTCAGTTACGGCGTTCATCAGATGCGCAGTGGCCGTCTGGACGGTAGCAGTCAAGTTGCTGTTCCTAGTTTGGTCCGTCTATTTCGACGACTACCTTAGCATCGCCCGCAGCAGCGAAGCAAAGCACGTCGAGCTGGTAATCAGTGTGTATTTTAGGCTCCTTGGGTGGAAGGTTTCCACCGATAAGCTTCTCCCCTATTCCACTTGCTGTAAGGTGTTAGGGATTGAGCTTGATGTGGGAAACGCCATTCGGGGTTACGCCTTGTTGAAGAATACCCTGAAACGCCGAAACGAAATCATTGCTTCCCTTGAAGAGGTTCTCGCTCGGGGCAGCATTGACGCGACGACGCTTGAAAAGATTCGAGGGCGAGCCCAGTTCGCAAGTGGCCAGTTGTTCGGCAGACTGGCGCGGCAGGCGCTTCACTGTTTGTCGGACAAGCCTTCGAAGAGCTTCTGTGTGTCCGAGCGCTTCAGGTGGGGTGCCACTCACCTTGTAGAGCTTTTGCAGAGTGGTTGCTCCAGAGTCGTTTCTAGGGACTTAGGTGATAACCGCCTTGTTTTTGTAGACGCTTCCTTCGAGCCGTCCGGGCACAGTGGGCTTGGAGGCGTCTGCTACGATGCCGACGGGAGAATCTTAAGTTGGTTTGGGGCGACCGTCCCTAGTGACTTGATTAAGGTTCTGCTGAGTTGCTTCGGGCGCGACAGAGAGACAGTGATCTTTGAGCTAGAAGCTCTTGCAGTGGTAGTGGCTCTTGAGCTTTTTAAATGTCATCTGTCTCAGAGGAACGTTGTAGTGTACACGGACAACTCAGGTGTGCACGGCGCGTTCGTGAAGTGCTGGTCAGAAAACCCAGTAGGCAGTGCGATGGCTTTCCTGGCAGCCAAGCGTGAGTTTGACTTACAGGCCTTCTTTTACTACGACCGTGTGCCGTCGCACAGCAACCCAGCTGATGCGCCTTCTCGAGGTGTGTACTCAATGGGCCAGGATCTCCGTGCCGAATGTTCGGCAGACGTTCTGACGGAGACCCTTAAGTGCGCCCTCAGTACATAGCCACGTTTTTCAGGGGCGGCCAACGTGGGCACTCGTCTCCCCAGTCTGTGAAAAAAGAGAGTGGCGCGTCTTCGACTGCATATGAATGTATATTTGATTGACGATTCTTTTTATATTCCGAAAGATATTGGAGTCTGTGTTTCACATATCAATTCGTTTAATTTCTCACGCCCGGTGTTTTGCACAAAGGGAAAATAAGAACTATCTCCGCGCGTGCACGGATGAGTTTTTATTTTCCCTGCAAAACAAATTTATTTCGCTTTCGAAATAAATTAGGGCATGTGTGTGACTGTCTCATGTGAGCTATGTTAAGAGTGTTTCTCACGAAACATTTCTGCTCAAGGGAGAGGTGGGTGGGACCCCCAAAGTTTTGTAGAATTTTTCGTCCCGCCCGCCCAAGTCCCATCGTTCGGAGAGGTGCTCCAACGTGGTCTCACAGAGAAAGTGCTCTCGCTGGAACGTGCCGTAGCTTCCTTTAATTTACCGAACCGTTGCCCTGGGCCCTAAGCCCGGCCAACGTGGGCACTCGTCTCCCCAGTCTGTGAAAAAAGAGAGTGGCGCGTCTTCGACTGCATATGAATGTATATTTGATTGACGATTCTTTTTATATTCCGAAAGATATTGGAGTCTGTGTTTCACATATCAATTCGTTTAATTTCTCACGCCCGGTGTTTTGCACAAAGGGAAAATAAGTGCCCCTTGTGCCGCCCTCGCACAAACACCAATGGCTAAGGCTAGCGGACCCGCACCGCTCTGAAGTTCACCTTCGCCACGAAAGCAAATTCGTTCTGGCATGGCTGCAGCATTGCTTTGCGCATGAGCAGCCTCGCTCGCTGCGCACAGCGCCACGCATGCACTGCTACAGTGCGGCGGATGCATTCGCAGATACGCACCGCATGGGCATTGGAGGATGGATCAGCACTGCCGACGCCTTCCTGTGGTTCAGCGCCATCTCTGCAGAGGAAGTGCGCAAGCAATGGCCGCAACTGCAAGGCAGCCTGCAGCCTTACATTGGCTGCTTTGAATCGCTCGCACAGCTTGCCCTGGCACAGTGCTCCTGGCAACTGCTACGCAGTAAACAGATCCGCTTTGTTCTGCCCACTGCATCCGACAATACCAGCGCAGAGTCTGGCCTTAATAAGCTTTTCAGCACGGCAGAGCCCCTAGGGACTTTCCTTCGCCTGGCGGCTACCTGGGCGCATCTGCACCGCGTGCAGTTTGAGGTGGAGCACCTCGCCGGCGAAAAGAACGTTTGGGCAGACAAGCTCAGCAGGGGCTCAACTGCCTTTCTTCAGCATCGCACTGCTGACAAAGTCGAAGTCACGCTAACGCAACTAGCATCCGCATCGCATTGCGTCACATTACATGATCACGCACTCGCTTGGCCGCAACGGCTACTAGACGCTCAGCACGCAATGCTTAAATGATGTTAAAAAAGAGTGGAGTGACGCCTCTCTCTTCCTCTCTTTCCGTGAGAACAGCTTTGCTTTTCACGCTCTTCATTTCTCACGCCCTGCCTAGCCAGGTACATTCACCAACTCGCGCGGTGAGGGGCTTTTACAGCAGAGGTTGTCGAAGTGCACCTAAAGTGGGGGTTTGCTCGGCATCGCTTGCCGCTTTCCCTTGCGAGCAATGCCTCGCTCTGCACTGCACATTCGAGCAACCTCTGCGGAAAAATAGAGCGTATGCAGTTCGCACTGCACTTAGCGTTGAGAACAGTTAGGAGAACGCTAGTTGTGAGTTTGTGTTTTTGATTCAACTGTGTTTTCTTATCTGTGTCGAAACCTTCAAACGCTCCGCGCTGCTTTCGGCACCAGCACTCACAACTAGTGTTCGCTTTCTTGCATCGCATGCATAAGAAATTTTTCACCCACCCTCCACGCCCTTGGGGGTTTGCTCGGCATCGCTTGCCGCTTTCCCTTGCGAGCAATGCCTCGCTCTGCACTGCACATTCGAGCAACCTCTGCGGAAAAATAGAGCGTATGCAGTTCGCACTGCACTTAGCGTTGAGAACAGTTAGGAGAACAACCGCGTTCGTCCTTGCTTAGGCTCGGACCGGGGGACACTGTTGCCGGAGTGCGTGCTTGGTCCTGTGGGCACCGCACAGCTCGAATCTTTTCTGTCTTGTATCGGACCACTTAAGTAAGCGATTTGGTTCGCCATGCAATACGCATGTCCTTACAACTTCTTACCTTGGAACGCCCAACCTCGTTTCAATGTCATCATGATTCTTGGGTTTGTATACGGTTTTACCAGGACCAAGAAGAGATTTTGTGTTTGTCTCCCCTACGTGTTTCACTGTTTTTGATATTGCGTTTCTCACATCCAAGTATTTTCCTAGCAGCCAAATGTATTGATATCATTACAACTGTTATTGTTGCTACTCCTACTTCCCTCGTCGAACACCACGAACCGGGTGTGACACGTTCAAAGCAATAGGAAACACACAACGAGCAAAAAAGCGCTCTTACCGAGAGTTGTATTCTTGGTTCCATTCAAAAAACGTGTGGAACGATGGGATTGAACGATTTAAACCGTGGCCAACGCATAAAAGTAGCTTTTGACAAGTGCTTTTGTGTGCTTGGGTTTTCAGGATACACGCCAAACCTGCCTCTCGTGTTGCCTGGTATTTTGAAGTTTGCAAACACAGGTGTGCAATGCCACAGGACATTCTCAAAGAAGGAATCCGTTACCACCAACACGCGTGTCGTTTTGCAGATAGTAGTTCCATCATGAGGATTTAACTCCAATTTTTCGAAGTGTCCATGGAAAAAGGCTTTTGAACAGCTGGTTTGGTCCACCTGTACAGTATGCAGCATTGGCTCCAGGTTTGAAAATGAAGTCAGGTGCCGGTGTTGCGATATCAAGACTGCCAGGAATGAGCTATTTCGTTGACATTTGCGACGGCACCCCATGCCATCTGGACTTGGCACACAACATGCAACTTCTGCAAATTAAACTGGGTTCAGACCCGGAGAGCACGGGAACTATGCACCTGGATCCGTTTTCGGTGCTCGACAGTGGTTTGGCGACTCTCACATTGGCAGGCGGAACATTGGCATTCGTTTCTTTACTGTTGTTGCTTCCCATCTTGGTGCGGCAGTTGGGCGGATTGCCTGCCGAACATGCTCCAAGAAAGCCTGACCAAGATGCAGCCCCACCGTTGGCATTGCTGCGTGTGACAGGTGCGCTATGCAGTGGCGCCGAGCACTCAGTTGTATAATTGTCGTTCACCCGCATTGTTTGCCCCTTCGTGGAAGAACGCTTTTTGGCGGCGAGGTTCTGAGCTTTCGGTAATCATTCAATTGAAATGACTCGTGTAGGTCGGCCGTGCAGGCATGTTGTCTTGTATATTAGAAAAAAAGAGGTCATGGCAAACATCACGTGTATTGTGCTGACCGTCCAGACGGAAACTGAGCAGTTGACCACATCTGGTTATCTTCTGGCCAGTGAATGCGTCGGAGCTGTGGTGGGCTTGCTGCTCTTCCGATCCTTTGTGCTAGCTCAACTGCGAGTTGCCTACCAGCTCACGGCTGTAAGCATGATTGTGGGCAACGGGCTGTATGCGTGGGCCTCCATTCAATCCAAGGGGCTGCTTGCATTGTTCGCCAGCAGGATGATCACTGGCGTGGGGGCGGGAAGCATGTTACTAGTTCGGGTTAGTTGCCCCGTTTCTTTTTGCCATCCGGATAGTTTCTTTGCAGTTCTTTTGCTTTTCGTCAAAGTGTTGTCATGTTGCGGTGTGACATGCAGAGGTACAACTCGGCTATGGTGATGGTCCATTTCGCGCGGGGTCAACAAAAGACTCCGCACATGGTGTTGTACCAATTCTTCGTGGCCTTTGGTGTTTTGCTAGGCCCTGCTCTCGCCTCAGTCAGCTTACTTTTACTGCCAGGAACTGAGACCAAAGATGCTTTGGCCAACTGCATCATGGTGGTCTGGGGAGCCGGGCTGTGGCTAGCAGTGGTGATTGTGGTCCCAAGTGACATCAGCACGTTCGAGGTCCAAGCCGGTTTGACAAAGTCATCCGTCCTGGAGGCTTCCGAGGCCACAGAGACGTCTGAACTACCAGAGACATCGACTCGGAGTGGGACGATCAACGGCCTGGCTTTGTTTCTTACCCTCATCGGCAGTGCCACGATCAGGATGGGTCAACGGAATCCTGGATGCAAAATGCGTTGAGACTCGCTATTGAATTGTGCATTGAAGCAGACGTTCATTCATGTAGCACCTCAGACTAGTTTGCTGTTTGGTTTCTGCCATGTATCTGTTAAGCCAATGCAGCCACACACACACAGAGGACGGGTACTGACAGCCGGCAGGTTTGAGAGAGTGTACTTGCTTGGAGTGGTCATGCAATATCCTGCCCCAAGCACAGCAACATGCTGTTTTGTTGAGCTGTAAGGCTACTTTGGGAGAGTGGCTCAGTCATTGCTGTGGAGGTTACATACGGCTGGTCCGCTTCCACTGCAGGTTTGGTGTTCATTGTGGTCGTGGTGTCCATGGCTGTTGCGCAGTATCTTTTCTCGCAGCACGTGGCAGGCAAATATCCAGATACAGTGTTGCTGCGCAGACTGGAAATTACACAGCTGGTGGGTGTCTTGCTCATGTTTCAACCTCTGCAGCTTCCAGTTGCCTTGAGCGTACTACAGTTTATGGTGGCATCTGTTCTTGCATACTCTTCGAATGCAATTTGGTCCGGCGTGCTCACATCATTCTGTGTAAAGCGATCACTTGCAAATTCGTTCTTCAGTTCAGAAAATCTTATGCTTCTGAATCAAGCGGCGATTTTCCTTGGGATAGCTGCCGGGAGCACAATCAGCAGAGCGAGTCAGGAAGTCGTCCAGGGCGGACCTGCATTATCGAGTATGAATATCTTGGCTGGCACACTCCTCGTTGGAGCACTGCTTCAGCTCAATCTGTCACTCATTACAATCAGCGAGATTTCATTGGATTTTTTTGTTGCCATTGTGAGCCTGGGTTTGGGACTCGTGATTCCAGTCGCCGCCCTGATGCCTGCATGGGGAGGTACAGGTCCTTCTCATGTTTTTACCTGGCATATCGTCTGCATGGGCATGGCATGGCCTTGTCTTTCCGTGCTGGGTTATTGGAGCTACAATGCTGACCTGATGAGTGGACGCAGCAAGAACGGTCGGCGAACCATCCACATGCTCTGTATGCTTGGAGTTGGCGTTCTTTCAATTGCAGGATATGCTTCTCTTTTCGAAGCCCATAGGCAGAATGGAGAGGGCCAGTTCGGGGGCCTGATGGTCGAGGGCAACAAGTGGACATTGAAGCGTGGTGTGGGCCGCTTCATCCATGTTGCCATCGGCTACCTGGTTGTTCTGGGAGTGCTGCTGCAAGCTGTCATGGGCCTTTGGAAGCGACACGTCCTTCTCAACCATGATTTGAAGGCCGTCACGTGGCACGGCGGGTTTGGGCGTGTTCTTCTGACTTGTGGCCTAGTTTCGACCTGCATTGGTGTTTGGCTTGATATTAATGGGAAGGGTGGCTTCCCTCTGACACTGAAGCTTGGCATCTCTGCAACTTTGCCTTGCCTTGGTGCGCTTGCCTTCTTCCGGGGCCCTGAAATTTGAGGCCCACAGTGTGCAGAAGAACTGCGTGCTTTCGCACCTCTTGGTGTTCGTGTGCTTCGATATCTGGCTGGTAAGGCTTCGACCCTTCGATGCGCGGTGTACAAAGCTTGCTCCGGTCGTTCGTCGTTGTTCTGTCCAGGCTTGTAGCTGCTGTTGCCATGCAAGATTCCAGTGCCTGTCCGCCGCTGCACGACGAAGAACAGCGCAGTTGGATGGTGACTTCAGAATTCCACTGTTCGACCTTGTTTTATGAGTCTTCAACGAGATGATTGTAATGAAGTTCAGTCGTCATGAGTTCAACAGAAGACATGAGCACGGTCACAGAAGCACTGTTGCAATAGTCCGTGACATTTTGGAGAGGGTGCTGGCTTGTGTCACGCAATGGCGAAGGATGTCAGGAGACAACGTTTCCTTAGCTTTGTCTGCGGAAGGAAGTTCTGACGTCTGGAGGAACCCTGAGTTCTGGAACAAGTTCATGCAGCGGCCGGAGGCCATCGGAGGAGGGTTCAGGGTGCACACTGCGCAGAGTGCGCGCAGTCTCATCCTTGCTGGCAGGTGCAGGCCGCCATGCGGTCCAAGCTGAAATACGAAAGCGCTGCAGAGGTGCGGAGCTCTGTGGTCGGCATTCCGTGATCACAGCTCCAGCAGGCCGCTCAGCGAACGAAGCTGGACAAGCTTGAGCGAAAGCAGCGGAGGCCTGGCGGAGGACTGGGCCTTGTCGACATGCGTCAATTTTTGCAGTCTCCTTGAGGTACGAGATCATGAACGAATTGATGAAGTGTGCAACCAACGTCAAGCATCTGATCTCGCCGATGTTCCGGTGTCTCGTCGAGCACGTTTCCGATGGTGTAAAGAGTGGATTGTGCAGATTTACACCGATACCTGAATTGAACCCAGGTATAAGATCACGCAGCAGTACCTATGGAAGGTAGGGACGGTCCGTGAGATTTTCAACTTGGAACGGCAAGTCCCCTGAAGTCATGTTGAAAGGTGCTTTGCGAAGCTCGCAAGGAAGGCTTGCTCTTCTGCGACAAGCTCCGGCCGGGAACTTGGCTTTCGTGCCGATCAGAGACTCTTTCTGTAGTTCTCATGCGGACCGCCCTTGCCGAAGTTGAGCCGGTTGGCCATGCCAGTGCTGAAGGCAACCGCAAGTCTACCATAGGCTTCAAGCCATCAAGGCAAGCTGTTGCCGAAAGCACTCGCCTCACTTCGCAAGCCTTGTGAAGTTCAGGCCGAAATCACTGCTGGTCCTTATGGCGTCGCCGGCTGGCAGGCGGAAGAAGAGGCCGGTGCCATGACATAGCAGCCCCAACACAGCAGAGTGTAGTCATAGTCATGAAGCAGGTGGAAGAGGACCTGATGGACAAGATGGTGGTTGAAGCCGACTGTATTCCAGGTGGTATTGACGGTGAGGTGCCATGCATGCCTACCCCATGCTTCATAACCATGAGGGGAAATCGGAAGACGTTCCTGGCCTCTTTCAGCAATCGCTTCAGGCGCCAGACAGAAAGCAGGTTTTGGACAGGCGCGAGATTCACGCAGAAGCCCCAGCTTCTGCATCCACTGCTCAATGTTCTGCAGCGGGCATGAGCACCCGGCAGGGAGTCCTTGACTTCGGGCAACGGATCAAGTCAGAGGGGAATGAGGCACCATTCATCAGTGTCGGTGTCTGTGAGTATCGTGTTGTAGCCAAAAAATTGCACCATGTCAGCGAATCGAGATGTTTTGACAACACTGCATTTCTGCGCTTGGCTTTGACCTGCCTGTCCTGCATGTCTGAGGCCTTCATGAACGAGAACTGGGAAGGGGCTCTGACACGGTGCCTGCATGCTTAGCTGAGAGGAGTCAAGGCAGTTTTGCTTGGATGCAGGTACTGCCAGGGAGATGAGATGCTAAAGAACTTCGCTGCTGAGCCGCACCTCGAAAAGGAAAACAAGGCGCTCTGCGGGGTTGATCGTTCTGAATTGAGCAAAGTCTCAAGAACAGCCTCAAGCATGAAGCCAGAAACAGTTTATGCTGAGCTAAGACAGGAACTGAAGACCATGCATCGCCAGTGCTTGAACAACAAGGCTTCGCTGAAAGGCGTGGTGCTTTTGAAGCGGCGCACGGCTCATTGGTGTCGTAGGCCAATGCAGCACTGATGGTGGATCAGTGGCAGACGGCTTTGCGGGCGTGCAGACCTGAGCTCTCAATCTTCCTTGATGCGGGGGCACCGCTTCGTTCTCAAGGGCAGATTCTGCCCTGAAGCTGAAGATGGATGACGAGAAGGTCGCTGCTTGAGGGACGGTGTCAGAGTGAACTCTCCGAAGTTGCTGGTCGGGATTGCTTCCTTCTTGCCACGGTTTTTTTGTGTGTTGTTACGAGAGTCGGAGTTCCTGGAGAGGCCCTGTTTCGGAAAGCGCAAGCTCTCGAGGGCGGCTGCCTTAGGCCCTTAGGCCCTGTTGCTGTGGGTCTGTGGGTGTTCGTCGCAGTGCCTTGAGGTCTTGGTCGAACAGAGGAGGCAGTTCTCGTAGCGTTGCAGCTAGCAAGGGCCAAAGGGCAGAGAAGCGTGTCACCCGACATCAGGCGCTGGGGGTGCTCGACGAAGTGGAAGAGATCGCTGGTGACATGGACGAGGCCGCCGTTCAAGCTGCTGCTTCGATCATCAGCTGATTCAGTCAGGAGTTCAGGGAACAGATCCTGGATGATGTGCGCGAGCGCAAGGAGGCGGATCTCGACCCCCGTGTACTGCAAGATTGTGGAATGAAGGTTCTTAGGCACAACGTGCCTGCAAAAAGAGTCTGTCAGGAACTCAAAGCGATCGAGCGCAAGGCAGCGAAGGACTTCAACAGCATGTTCAAGGCAATGGGTGACAAGCAGGCCGATCGGGGAGGTTTATCGGTTGCGTTGACGGCTTGAGTAGCTTTCTCTCTGGCTCTGTCGTCTGTGCTACTGATTCTGTCGCTCTGGCTTGCTCGCTCTCGCTCTCTCTCTCTCTCTCTCTCTGGCTCGCTCTCTTCACAGCCACTGCGATCATTTGCCTTTTTTCGAAGTCGAAGTCGCCGCCTCGCTGGGAGGTATTTGGCAGTGGACGCTTCCTCGCGGATGGCACCTCTCCGCCACCAGCGCTCACAGGAACGGTCTCGAACCAGCATTTGTGCATGCTTGGTTCAGAATCTAGGTTTTGCAAGTGTTTTTTGATCGCGACTCCTCGAGCTGTGGCTCTTCGTTGGTTCGACTGCCGTAGAAGGTTTTAGGGCTACTCGGCCTTACACGGCCTCACACTGTCTCGGTGCCGGTTTCAGAACTTCCCAACAGCATTTTACAGTAGGTCCCTTGTCGCGAGGCTTCGGAGCGTGGACCCCTCATATGCATGTTGAGCGTCTAGCGTTTAAGTTAGGTCGCATAATCTTCCTGGAGGCAATAAGCTCCAAGACCTCCAAGGGAACCCAGCAAGCCCTTTGCAAGTCGATCATTCAGCAACTGCCGAACGTGAGCAATGGTTCTGAAGGTTGCAAATCGCTGGGAAGCTTTTCTTGATTGCGATTGTTTTGGTTGTGCCCAAGACCAGAATTTCTTCCGTCGGCACACGCTGAATGACGAATGCCGGGAGCAAACTTTCGAGAGGCATTTTCGAATCGCCGGCAGTTCGGCAAGAGTTACTGCTGGTGTCAGGCGCAGAAGAACGGAAGCTGAAGCGCATCAAGGCGGGTCGGTGTGACATGGCGTATGCTGGAAAAGGTAAGACGTCGCCTGGCAGGAGCAAGAAGAGTACAGGACGGCGAAAGCCAAATACGAGCTGGAGCAGAGGAGGAAGGTTGAGATCTGAGATTTCCGATGCTTCACATTGAAACTCATGCATGGTGCATTCTTGAGCTGCTATGCGTCCTTGGGAGATGCAACTTGTGGCTGCAAGCAGACAGACATGTGCGGTAGCACATTCCGGACAGACATGTAGCCGCTGTAGCTGTCCTCCATGCCGACAGAAGTCCTCCGGCTCCGGGAGGGTTGTGATGGCTGGGCTACCGCTTGCAGCGGGTCTTTTCGTGCCTCGCAAGTCAAAGTTGGGGACACGTCGGCGTGGGCGGCGCGTCTTTTCAGGCGGAGCCGGGTTGCGGCAGAAGCTGGCGGAAGGAAACGGCTTGCCTGAGCTGGAGCAGCTTTACGTTGTTCAGGACGATTGTGAGCTCGCAGCTGAAATCTTCCGTGACGCGGGCTTCGTGCTGATCCCCGGCGCTGTGAGCCCAGAGCACTGCTCTGAGCTTTTGGCGGGATGTCGAGCGGAGGAAGCTGAGATTCTGCACAGAGACCCTGCCGGTGTTGGTAATCGTGGGCACGGTCGATACTCCCTGGGTGAGGCGCCTTTGCTGCTCCTGTCATGCGTGCCGCAGTGCTGGAACCCGCACCACTCCACAGCCCGACGATGCACCCAGGAGTGTCTAGGTCTAGGTGTAGGACACAGATGATGACGGTGCAGCTTTGGAGGCTCAAAGCACTGGCCATCTTCTGCATCGTGCGGAGTGGGCGTCCTTGGTCGACCTTGAGAAGGCCCTGCCCGGAGCCGCCGCGCAGCTGCGCTTGGAATTCAGATCCTTGTGCTTGTGCGATTCCTCTGCAGGTCACTCCCGTCTTGCAGAGGATCTTTGGCAAGTCCGGCTACGTGTGTGCGGGTGCAGGAGGAGATTTCGTTCTTCCGAACACTTACGAGTACCAACCACTTCATGTGGATCTGGACTTTCCGGGTTGTCAGAAGCAGTCAGCCTCACCGGTGGTCACCTTGAACGTTCCGCTTCTGCCACTGACCTGGGAGAACGGTCCAACGAAACTGAGCTGTCTTTAGCATCTCTTGCCGGTCTTTGGGGAAGCTTTAACTTCTTCCCAGCCCAGAGAGTTTTGGGTCTTGAGGCGCCTCATCCCTGGCACGCACCTCCCTGCTTCCTGGCAGCCGCCTCCGCCAGCCTTGGAGCCGGAGGCCTGGAAGCTCTTCACCTTCTGCCCCATCCCTGCAGGCCAGGCGGGACGCGGGACGGCGTTGAGGTCCGGTGCCTCTCCTCGGCGAGTTTTCATGGTTTTTCAGGCACCGCCATCCTGCGCGACAACCGAGCCTGGCACGGAGGAACTCCCAACCTGCGTGCTTCCCAGACTCGACCCTGGGCCCCTTGAAGCGCTGCAGACGTGTGCTGAGTCTCAGGTCTCAGACAAGCCGGTTCCTGCCAAACGTCGAGTTTGCGGCTACTTGGTGGTGCGTCGGATCGACCGACGAACTCTGGCGGAATCCGTGGAAGCTTGCTCCGCGCTGCATGCCCAGAGGCATCTATGAGAGGCCCGCTCGTGTGTTGCAGCTTTGCTTAATGATCGCTTTCTTCTTGAAATCTTGGCAGGCTGTCGCCTTTCGCCAAGCATGTTTGCAGGTGCAGCATTCACAAACTTCATGTCATGTCCCGCGCAGATACCTCGCCCCTCGATTATGCTCCCTGCAGGCTGGTTGTCACAGACGACCCCTCGCTGAAGTACGGCGTGCGTGATGCATTCGCGTACCCTCACTAGGTTCATGGAATATGTTTGGCGACGTCTTGTCGGGCTTGACCCTGGCAGCCGAAGCAATTCTGCTATTTGGGTGCCGTGCGTGGTGGCTTTCAGTACATCCCGGCGCGGTTCTTTGCTGACGTGCTGGACGAGGCCGACAGCATTCGCAGTGCGACTTGCGGTCGGACCAGTTGCCGAGTGCCATGACAGCCTGAGCTCCAGTCCCGGCGGCACTCGGATAGACCGGATGAGTGGATGGGGTCAGACCGGGCACCCCAAGTCTGCCTGCATGAGAAAATGGTCGTCAGCTCCAGGGCTGTGCAGCTTGTCCCCCGAGAGTCCCGAAGCCCCTGCGCCAAGGAAGGCAAGCCCATCATCGACCAGCCGAAGGAGCCCGAGATGCCCACCCCCAACAGGTGGATTCGGGAGCAGGGCGCAAGGAGGATACTGTGGGACGTTGTGAAATTAGGTCGCTTTGGAAGAATTGCGAGGCCACCTTTTGGATACCGATCAGCGGATCGAACAAGGAGCGGAGTCCGGCTGTTCCGCAGTCAGAACTTTGAGCCCACGACCTGGGATCGGAACTGTCGAACTGCAGGACCCTCACCAAGGCTCAAGCAGAGCAGCTTCTGGAGGACTTCGTGTTCTAGTAGTCTAGACTGTCCATAGACTCGTTCCGTGCCAGTGTGTGCTTGGAAGTTCTGGTGTCCAAATGAGCGTGCTTTCGCTGCAGTGGGCTCTGCTTATTTACTGACCTTTACAAGTCTGCCGATTCATGTTGCGGTGACAGTCCTCCGCAATTTTCACTTGAAGCAGACAGGGCAAGTTGGTTGGTAGACCACGATCTAGAGTCTAGTCAAGTCTTTGCCAGCGTAGCCGTACTCATATCTACTTCCGGATTGCCATGGCGCCGACCGGCATCTGAGCACGCAGCGAGAGCATTATTTGCCATACGTTGTTTAACCTTGTTTGCTCAGACGAGGAATTGCTTGTTCACATCACAGTTTCGTCGTAGGGATATCATGCCTGCTATGAGCACACTGAATAGTTTTGCACGTTCAGGTGATGATGCCGTCTTTCAGTACGGCGCAGGTCCTCCGATCTCGAACCCGTGAATTGAAGCTCCGGACGGCATCACGTGTCGATGCTTGCGTTGGCACTGACTCGTAGAAGCAGCCTCTACTTCCACCGCCTTCGTAGGGAGCGATGCTGACAGGTGGCAGAGGCAAAGGCTTCGGCAAAGACGGCCGTCGCCTGATGAGCCAGCCGAGAGGCATCCATGTGGATAGTGTGCACGTCTCAGAGCGCTGGAGCACTGCCATGGGGTCGATCTGTGGACTCCGCAGCTTTCTGCGCAGAGGATGGCTCCCTCTATGTGGCAGACTTCACGAGCTTCTGCGTCTTCAGATTTGCGGCAGACGACAGTCGTGGTCGTGTTGTCGCCGGGGAAGATGGGAAGCAGCTGATGGATGTGGACTACCTGAAGGACACTGTACAGAAAGGTGAAAGCTGCCGGAGTCTTGAGCTTGATGCGCCTAGGATATCGACCGGCCACTGGCTTCTCCGGAAGGGGAAGGCTTCCTGTTGAAAAACCCCATCGACGTTGTCTCCAGCCCGAGCCTGGCCTAGACTTGCAGTCGTAGAGGTACCGTCTGCAGTGAAATCGGCTGAAGCTCAGACTCAGGGACGGTCTCCTGGTGCTGGACTGTGCCGCCGCCCGCGTGCAATCCTTCCAGCCTGGCGAAGGCACGGAAGCTCCGCAGCGTCGCAGCATGAAGCATCACCGACACAGCCGTATGTGTCTGCTGCAGGCCAATCCGCTGCCGGCCGTGTAAGAGTCCCCCCCTCGACAGCTCCTCCGGCCGCTACGACGCAAGAAAAATCCGAATCGGTGTAGCATCTTTCAGCAGAGTCAAAGCCCGGTGTGGTCCTCAGGCGAAGTCGGTGGCAGCACCCGAAGCACTCAAGTCACCCACCCAGCGTGCAGCGAACAGCCAAGAGCGAAGCAAGATGCGGCGAACCGCTCAGAGTCAGAGAAGTCTTGAGCGCTTGAGGCATCCGCGTGCTATTTTCCTCGAAGACGACGGCATTGTGGTGTGTGACACCTGGAGCTGCTCGGATGTGACATAGCCTCGAGCCGCAGGAGAGAAGCCTTCCCTGAGATCTCATGTCTTGGCGAGGCCACCGCGTGCTGCGGTACCGGACTTCGGCTTCCCCACCCGAGGTGCTCGCGGGAACGCCCAACTCCTGTGGCTCGGTCGATCTGGCATCGGAGCAAGCCGGGCAATGTCTCAGAGCGGGTTCTGCCAGGTGGAAGCGAACCCGGGAAGCTGAACTTTCCAAGCTGCGTTGCCTTTTGCGCAAACGGATCGTTGTTGGCAGCTCTGCGCAGCTTATGTCCGCTCGCAGCGAGTTCTGAAAATGTGAAAGTGTGCGAAGGTATCAGACACCAACAACCATCGAGTACAGCGCTTTCGGCCTGGAGAGTGTCAAGGCCGCGCTCCCGGGCGGACTGGGGTGGTTGACATATGTTGGAAAGCCGACGTTTGCAGCTCCAATTCAAGAAGCCTCTGCGACTGCCAGGGGAGACGGTGGCTGGCTCGGCAGAGGGCAAATCTGGGAGCAGCCTGACGGAGCTCAACATGCCCACAGGCCAGGGTGGCGGATCTCCAGCGATCCTAATCAAACAGGCTGTTGGTTCATGTGCAGATTAGAAAATCCAGTGGCGCAGTCTTTGTCGTCGGCGATTTCCGCCAAGCCCTTGAGATTGCGCAGGCCTCGTGGTCGAGGCCGATGGCAGCTTCCTCGTCGCAGACCGTGCAAACGCCCGAGTGCTGCGCTTTCGAGAAGGCGGGGGGGGATTCTGGCAGACTGCAGACACTGCAGACTCCCGCAAGACACTCGGAGTCTTGTGCTCCGAGAGGCGGAGGGGCCGGCGAGGTGGTGGCCGGCCCGGACCTCCTGGAGCGACCGCGGCTTTGCCCAGATTTGAGAGACGGCGTACACATTGTTCCCAGTTCCCAGACTCGGATTGCCTCATTACCCTGGGCACTTGGCAGGTGGGGTTTGGCTCTTGGTCCGGACGGTTCTGTCTACGTCTCGGACGAGCGACGTGCGGTAGTGTCTCGGCCGCGCTCTGGTCGGATGCTCTTGGCACCCGAGAGTCTCATTCCATGCCCCGTGGAGGTGCTGAAGCTTGCAGGGACAAAGCCCAAGCAGCCAAAGACCGAAGCAGCGCCGCTGCCTTCGGGATATCCGCCGCAGATGCCCGCAGAGGAGCCCTCCGGTGGCTATCCTGGCCCTGGCAAGCAGCCCGCCGCCGCTCCTGCCACTCCGGACGCCGGGCCAGAGCATGAGACGATCGCTGCAGGGATACAGAGATGCAGAGAGATGGCATAGAAACCTAGAGGCGCTTTGTGCCAGGATCTCGGCATGGGCCTGGACTGAAGGGGCCAGGTCAAGTAGTTAGGTGGAATTCATGGTGCAAATTTGCATCCTTCAAGCAGAGTCTCACGGAGAATTCATTCAAGCCTCCATAAAGAAATCTCAGCTGTTTTGCGGTCGGATCACCTGCGAGTACGCTGCAGACACGATTAATCGCAGCTCTCCGTCGACGTCAGTCGCAATCGAGTGGGCGTGCCACATTTGGAGTTGCGGTACGTCACTGTTAGCAGATCAAAGGCTTTGTCTGTGAGACCGAGCAGGAACTCTTGGCTACCTACAGTGCCGAGGGCTTTCAGAAGAAGGCAGGGGCATGATGACGTCGCTGTGACACGGCATCGCATGAGGACCTGAGAAACACAGCCTGAGAGGTGCATGCTGATGCCAAGGCTCGTGGATTTGATTCTGTGAGGGGTCGCGGTCGTGCAGCACAGAAAGCAGTGATTGTCATGGTGTGTAGTGTACCATCCGGGTGCCCCAACAGGAGTTTCGCATGTCAGATGCACGCATCTGGGGAGGCCGTCATGTTCGAGATTCAGCCCTTCCTCAAGCGGCTCAAGAAGACGGCTTTCGTGGTGCACATCTCAGTAGTAATCCTTTCAGCGGCTGTTGATGTCAGAAACCTCTGGTTGCACTTGGCTTCGACCTCGGCCTGCTCCCGGCTCAACCGCAGCCTTCTCTGCGGCCGGGCTGCCGTGTCTTCTGGAGGCCCGGCGGCTGAGTTTCCCCACCTTTCTTCCGTGGCCTTGCCTCCAGGTGCGCATGACCATGAGACGAAGTTCGGTGGGGAAGACTGGCGTGTGGGGACCTCGCTTGGTTTTTCGGAGTCTGCACCTGCGCTAACCTGCGCTCTCTGGCTTTCGCTCAGTCTCGCCTTGGTGCTGGGCGCCGGCTACTTGTTTCTCGATGCCCTGAGCTGCTTCGTGGGAGCGGGAGCCTCGGGACATCTCGGGACATCTCGGGACGTCGCGTCGCCATGGCTTCGAGAAAGTCCGCGACGGCTGCGAGGCCGGCCTGACGAACAACCGCTCCTTGCTGCCGCCTCGGGGTTCCCGCTTTTGTCCATGTTGTGTCCATGCGCTTGGGTTTCTGACTTGCCGGCTCGGAAGGTCCAGCGAGATGAGGGGATACCGTCGCGGCCACGGCGAGGGTTACGGCGAGGGATGCTCGGAGGGAGAGTCGCGACTTCGCCCCCAGGGCTGGACAGGATGCTCGAAGCCTCGGATGGAGACCGATCTTTGCAGACCTCGGCCACGGGCTCGGACGGATGTCCACGCGCTTCGACGCGTTTGGATGCGCGGCGAGCTTGCAGGAAGGCTTCTGGATTGGGGAGAAGGGCTTTGAGAAATCACAGTGGGCGCAAGGCGCGAGCTGGCCTGGGGATTGCGCATCTCATATCGGTGAAAGTCATGGCATAAAGCCTTGGTACTGTCTTGTCACCCGCTGGCAAGGCTACCGCTACCGCATGCGAGCCTCTCCGGAGGACTGGCTCAGTCTATGAATCCCGGCACGCAGACATGCACTGAACACAGCAGGACCGATGTTCAGAGTGAGCTTCATAACTTAAGCGACAGTGCAAGAGCCGCCTGGGGGACGGTCGCCGGCGCGGAGCAGAGCTTGCCAGAATGTTTGCAAGGGGAGGGGGGGGGGACTCAGCTGAGCGAGGGTTCCCGCCCGGAGCCCAGTAGACAGACCCAGGGACCGAAAAGAAAGCACCGACCAAGATAGCACACCAGAGCAAAACGCTCGAAGCCTTCCACCTCGGCGCGGATCGTCGTGGCACTTCCGAGTAAGCGGAGCATGTTCAATCTGGCGATGCTCAAATATATATATATATATATGTCTATATATATATACATATATATATATATATATATATATATATGCGACAGGAGTTCAAGAAGGGCATCGACTGCCCCGCTCCGTCACCATCTCAGTTCGAGGTGTTCATCCAAGGAGCTTCCCTCTTCCTGCCCCTCGTCGCCTCCTCCTCTCGCTCTCTGTCTCTCTGTCTCTCCGTCTCTCTTTCTCTCTGTCCCTGTGTCTCTCTTTCTCTCTGTCTCTTTGTCTCTCTTTTGTCTGTCTATTTGTCTTTGTCATTTGTCACTCTGTCTCCCTTTCTCTCTGTTTCTCTTTCTCTCTGTCTCTCTGTCTTTCTCTCTGTCTCTCTGTCTTTCTCTCTGTGTCTCTGTCTCTGTCTCTGTCTCTCGGTCTCTCCGTCTCTCGGTCTCTCCTTGTCTCTGTCTCTCTGTCTCTGTTTCTCTCTGTCTCTCTGTGTCTCTGTTTCTCTCTGTGTCTCTGTCTCTCTGTCTCTCTCTGCCTCTCTCTTGTGTCTTTGTCTCTCTGTCTCTCTGTCTCTCGCTGTTTGTATCATACGAAACAGCTTCTCGTTTCGGAGGAATGTAAGCACGTCTGAGGCTCCAGATTGGCCCCATCAAGTGGAAGGTGGGCGAGGCCATGACACGACAGAGATGAAAAGCCACGAACACAGAGCGACAGAAAGAGGGAGGCTACAAGAAAGAACGAAACAGAGGGAGGAGGGCAAGCACCTTTGGTGGATCTGTTCTGCACCTTGTCAGTGCTTCGGTGGGAGTGGCAACAACGACAAGTTGCCTGGGCCTCAACGGAATGTCCATGATCAAAAGCCAATCATTAAATCTCAGAGCAAAGCGGAGTCTTCGGAAATGAGTCTTGAGCTGCTCCCAGCCCACATTTATGAAAGGCTGGTAGAATCCTGACTTTCATCGGAGGGCAGATGTTTCGCCATTGAGGGCTTTTTCGCTCGAGGCGCCAGCTGAAGAAGGAGCTCGCCCAGGCCGGCCGCCCGGTTCAGATCTGTTGGTTGAGCCCACCCCACACTCGCTCGCATATGGGTTGAAGCCACGAAATGAGAGACTGAGAGATTGAAGGGAAAAGAGTCGGGAGCCACGAAGAGGCTGGCCTCGATGATCCCAAGAAGATCGCGGCACTCCGCCAGCAGTGAGGTTTACTTCCTTCCCTTGCGGTACTGTCCATGGCAAATCCGGAGAACTGAGGAGAACGAGTACTGGCTCAAGCGCTATGGCCGCAAGCGCTGGTACCCCAAGTACGTCAACCAGTCCGGTGCCAAAGGCCGGGGTGCCAGAAGCGGCCAGGCAAAAGCTTGGTGCCTCTGACTTCAAGTGCTTGCGGGTGTTCGCGGCACGGCGCAGGCCAGCAGGGCCTTTTCCGCGGCTTGGCGGCCTGGTCTGGCCTGTGCCTCGGGGATCGCCCGTCGGATGCGTGCTCAAGCACACTGAGCCCTGAGCGGAGGCTACGACCCTCTCAATGAGGAGCGTGGCAAGACTTGGATCGAGGTCCGGAGCCTTCCGCTTTGCCTCACTGCACTCCTGGCACGTGCCATGCGTCAGGCTGACTATGGCAAGCCTCTCGTCAAGGGGAAGCAAGACTATCGGTGCCTCGTGCTGTATAGCAATGCTGTCGGAAGCACGTGCGGCGGCAGCGGACAAGATGCAGAAACCGATTACTGTGCACATCTGCCATGGGACGCCCTGATGCAGGCTGCCTGGCCTCCTCACGAAAGAGCAGTGCTGCCGTCACGGATTAACTGTTGGTAGAACATGACGTCCTAAGTATCCAGCCCTACCAACTGGCCAGGATGCAGAAAGAGCTCGACAGCGGCAAGCTGCCCAAGCCTGGTGCCTGAGGAGCAGGCGCCCGTCCGCCCTGTCTGTTATGCGGAGACTGTGCGAATGTGCTGCAGGTCGAGATCCGCTGCCGCCTCAAACCATTCAGACACCAGTTTTCTTATTTCCTTCGATTTGTGCTGTTGTTCTGTGTCAGGGTTTGCAGCACAGCATAACACAGAGTCATCAGATGTCACCAGTGGAGATGTCCTGTATGTACAAGTGGTTTTCGTCCCATTCCTGCAATGCAAAAGACTGCAGCAATTCTGGATGCATCTTCCGTAACGGGAATGTGCCGACCGTAACAAGAACAGCCCCCGTTATCATAATGCCAACCCGCTGTTTCCCGTAACAGCGTGGGGGCAGCCCTGGGCCGTTGGCTTGAAAAGTTCCCAGAGCTTGGGGTTACAGGCAACCCTGCAGGGTTTAGGGTTTCGGGGTTTAGGGTCTTCCAGGTTTGGGGTTTAGAGGGTTAGGGTTTAGAGATTTAGGGTTTAGGGGTTTAGGGACCTTGGTGACAAACACATACGCACACATGAACGCGTCTGCAATCAGTTCAATCTTTCATGGATCAGCTAAGCTTCTGAAGCGACAACAAATGCAAACGCTGCTACGACTGTCAGCCTGTCTGCCTTTCTGCCAGCTTACGCCTTCAAGTGAGAAACACGCATAACACTAGTTGTGTGTACTCGTTGAGTATTCAAATTTCAGCACACGCATGTGCACGTGCGTGTGCGCACGTGTCCACGAACATCAGGCCTGCCTGTGGGGAATCGGTTTTCGGTCTCCTATCTGCCTCCTGCCCATGACTTGCTTGTTCCAATGGCAGCTCCTGTTCCGGTTGTCGTTCGTGTTGGGATGGTCGCCTGGTTGCTGCTACCGCGGCCGCACGTTTCCGTTACAGCGTGCGAGATCGGTTTCCGTTACTCCCCCTAGCGGCTCCCGTTACTCCCCGCACCCGCACTCCTATCCGATAGACAAGTCAGAGCAGATGCTTCCTGGATAGGAAGACCGCGTGCACGAACGATCCTGGTTTAGGTGACCCGCCCCGGCCGAGGTGCGCTGCGACATTTTTTTGAGGAAAGGGCTGAGCTGGCGACTGCAGCCTTGCGTTGACTGAGCGGCTCCCTAGACAGACGAGCTGCGACTTGCACTCGCAGCTTCGAGAGATTGACATCTTGTTGCCCTTGTGCTAGTCCTATTTTACTCCTATGTCGTCAACACAAGTCAAGCAGGCGGGTGCAACGTGTCCATAGTTCCAGGTCTTTGGTTGGACCTGAGGAGACCTGCGCCAAGGTGGAGGTGTCCCCAAAATTCTTTGAGGTTCAATTTTTCACCAAAGCACGCCGGGCTCCCCGAGACGTTCGAAGTGGCCATCGGCAATCTCCGCAGAGAAAGGGCAGAACGCTTCGTTGCGACGTAGTCAGGGGAATGTTCTGACAAGTGGCGGCCTTTCGACGAGGTGCAGGAGCCAGTTCTCTCCAAGTGGGGCTTCGATCCGTCAGAGGAGGGTTTGGCCGAGGCGAGCTTCCCTCCGAGTCCGAGAGAGAGAGGGGGAGCCGGGAAGATTGCACGGTGCTGTCAGATGATGGTGTGCCTCAGCGACCACACCCTTCGAGACCAAGTGCTTCGGTCTTGGCCTTGAAGTAAGAAACCGACCCGACATTTCTCAAGAAGCCGACTGGGGACTTAAACTGCAAGGGCTAAGGGCTCTGTTGGATGCCAAGGAAGCTCGCCGACGAGACCACCAAGATGCTGTACGGAGGGGAAGATGGCATGTGGGGCATGGAGGACTAGCTCTTGTGTCTAAGGTCCCGTGTCTTCTTGCGAAATTTTTGTTGTGCAAAGGTTCCTGTTTCACCATTTGCCACATGTCACGAGCGAGCGCAGGGAAGATCAAGAGCCAGCATGAGTCGCTACTGTAAAGAGCAGGACCGTCCCGTGAGAATCAAGGAAGCACGGTAGGGGAACACAGGTCCGAAGCTCTGAGCAGATTGAGTTCGATCGTCGTCCTTTGTCTTCCGCTTTCCGGCTCATCCTGGAGCTTATTGTCTACTGGCCCGGCACATGGGAGAGGTTAAGAAGCCGACAGAGCCGCGATGACCCGCAAAATGAAGGCAAGGAAGGTCATGGAAGGTCCAAACTCCATGGAGCCATAGACCGAGGCATCTACAAGACCAAAGCAGCCAGCCAGACTCAATGCGAACACGCAATGCTTGAAGGTCGACCTGCCCAATTCCGAGTGTCGGTAAGGGCAGCCCGAACTTCTCAGTCCAAACCCTGACCCGACTCTTTATGAACTCTATGACTGTTTCAAACGTGAAGTCCTGAGCACGTCAAAAAAAGCTGATTCTTTCGGCCTGTGCGGGAATCGCCCGGCGGACTGGAGATGCCTGCGACCGAGCTGTTCGGCGGTCGCTTGCTCTCTGGAACCATGGAGACTCTGCCAGCTTGTGCAGCTTCAGGTCAGGGTCGCAACGGGTGCCAGTGAACTCGCCTTTGGCCTTGACGCCGTAGGACACTCAAGGCTCATCAGCTTCGGGCTCTCTTGAGACTAAGGTTCTGGGTTTGCAGGAGGCAGTTCTAGCGATGCATTCAGATTTGGCTTTGAGGTTTCCACGCCACTTCCGTGGGGTAGTCTTATCTTAAACGTCATTGCTGAGATTGTGACTGATGCACTCGGGTTTCAATGCACCTCGAGATCGGTCTGAGTCCCAATCAGCTTTCTGAAAGAGCTGGAGGCAGGCAGCACAAGGGGCGGAAATGTGTGTGTCCGCGCCGTGTCAACATTAGCAACGTCAGCAAATCGGCTCATGGTGGTGTGGTTGGGATCACGGCGAGCCGATACAGACGGGTAGCAGGCAGCAAATTCGCCCCTCGTAGCCATCAACCTTTTGTGTGTACTCGAATTAGCAGACTGAGGCCGGTGTCGCAGCAGCGTGTTCTGGAGCAGCTTGCGCAGTGCGACGAGGTGAGACAGACGGAGTACATCGACCTTGTGGGTCATTAGATAAAAGGGCGCGTTGGGACATGTTGTGACTGGCTGCAGTATGGAAGGGCGCAAGGAAACGATAACCACTGGAGCAAAGAAGCTCAGCAAAACAGCTTCGGGTTGCAGAATCGCAGGGCAGCCAAGTGTCGAGAAAAGAGATACAAACAGCAAAAGCAAGCTCCAATCGCGGCGCTCTGACACCCCGTGCGCAGTTCGGAGCTATTGAAAGCTGCTTAGCTGATGTCGTCCTGACTGAAGCGAGATGAGAGCTCCGGCATTAGGGAATCTCAAAAAGCAAGGCTCGAGCGAGATCCGCAAGTTGCGAGCAGGACTGAAAGACCCGACCCGATTTATCTCAGCTCACAGAGTCCATCTCAGACCCCGAAGCCGATTTTATATATATATATATATATAGATGTATCTATATATATATATATATCTATATATATATATATATATATCTATATATCTATATATCTATATATATATATATAGAGCCGAGCAGATACGGAGCTCCACGGAAGGCCGACTTGCTTGGGCACCTGCAGCCGCTGAAGGTCCAAAGCTGGGAACGATGCGTCGGGGGGCCCAGGCCTAGTAGAGCGGGTTTGCGGGCCTTCTGGGGTTGCTCCTTCCATCTTCCTGGGATCCACTTACCTACCCATCGTGCCGGTATATCCTTGGAGCACTTCGGGCGAAGTGCCGCTGCTGGTGAAGGAACAGTAGGTTGATAGGCTGATACACAGAGGCAGCAGGTGCCACCTTCCACAGGCATGGCTGCCACAAAGAAGCAATTGGGGCTAAGGCTTAGGGTTGGGAATGCGGACATAGTTACTAGTAGCACATGCCACGAAGCCTAAGGAAGCTCACGAGCGGTTGAAGCTTCACAGTCCCTTGTACCATACTTTTCGGAGCCATGTCGTGAACTGGCGTGGTACTGGCTCACGCATACGCAGCATGCCATGGCAACGGCCACTCCCAGTTTTCCGTTTGCCTTCTTACAATTTCACAGGCGAGCTGTAAACCGTTCAGTCTGGAGTAAGTTAGTGGGGCTGCCAACGTGCAAAAAGCTCCTTAGGTCTTGCGCTTTCTTTTCCTACTCACAGTGAGTTTGCAGACGCGTGTGTGCTTTGCATAGGGCCGCCCAAGAAAAACGAAGCCTAAGGCGGGGACCGCAAAGGAAGAAGTGAAATGCTCAGAAAAAGGTATTTGGTCAAGGGTTGATTCTGAGGTGGCCTCTTCTTGGCATCCTGTCCTGATGCGCTTCGATGCCATCCTTGGGGCTGCTTGGTTGCATCTGATGCGTGATCGCGCGATGTGGCTTCGAAGCCCTCCTGCATTTTCATTTTCGAGAGATCTCAGACCTTCTCGGCCCCAACCCTGCCCTAGTCCAAGGCCTTTCTGAAAAGCGGAATGGGCTTCAATGGACATCCGTCAGAGGAGCTCGTTTGCGAGGCACTGGCAGAGTATGTAGCTCTTGAAACACATGTTGAAATCTACGTTCGAGCATAAAGCATAAAGGCGCGATGCACTGCGAGATACCCCCAAGCAGTCTGTCTTGATGCTGGATTGAAGAGCACAAGGGAGATCGGCAGTCGGTGTATGTCGAACTTGGCTGATACAGCAAGTGCTAGCTTTGCTCACATCGTTGGCAGGTGCTCCGTGTTCTGCACGATGTCTTGCTGCTTCACCAGGAGCTTAAAGGTCAGACGTGCTTCTTGAAGGGTGGCTCAATTGTTCGTGGTGTTGCAATCCTCTCGGACGGAAAGCACAAAGCAAGCCGCACCTTCCCTGCTGTTTCAGCTCCTGCCAGGTCCCGTGGAGAAACTCCGGGACTTGTTGCAGTGTCAGAGCCTTTGCAGCCGAAGCAGCTGCAGCAGAGAGTATTCGGGCGAAGCCAGGGCACGCATGTCGTTCTTCGTTTTAGGCTCTGAACTGAAAGTGCTCCTGGGAGTCTCGGCCTGAGCTTTCCCACAAGTGCGTTGGACTCCGTCATAGAGACTTCTTCACTTCATACAGTTGGGAGCCAAGAGCCCGTGAAGAGTAGCTTGATACCAAGTGCTGCTGACGCGGACGCGAGGTGCTCCGGTGTTTGGCTGCCTGCCCACCAAGCACAAGCCTCAGGGGGAACTGACAAGGCAAAGTGTACTGCGAGTATCAGACTCAGATCACGAGTTTCGATGTCGGACCAGGGTCTGCAGGTAGTATGTCTGAGTTTGTAGGCATCAGAGTCAAGTGTTTAAACTCCAATCCGTCTTTTCGGTTGGCCCATTGCTAGATGTTGCCCATCGGTGCAAACCAAGTGGTAAGGGAGCCCTTGAACGTCATCGCAAGCTTTCCGAATCTGAAGATCCCGGGTCTTGCGTTTGCTTCACAGGCCGGCACTTGCAAGCTGGCCACGCTGCCTCCCTAGAAAGGCGGCTGGAGGCGCAGTGAGTCCTTTAGCAAAGCAAAGGGCGTTATAGAGAGCTCGGAGCGCAGGTGCTCGCTTGCGGAGGCGGTCCCGGCCCCAGCAGAGTGTTTCAGGCAGATCAGGAACAACTCATGCGAGCTGTGCGGATGGCAGCTTGTGGGTGGCATGATGCTAACATGATGCTAAGAGAGCTCAGGATACCTGGAAACGGGCAGCTTTCGTGATGCTTGCACGTCTGAGGCCGCAGAGATGCCATAGATGCATGGAAGAGTGCGGCCACAAGAGAACCCCCCATGCCTGACCTGAGCCGAGCCAGGACTATGTGTTGGAAGACTTTCGTGCGGACGGTGCAGGGGAAGGAGTTGAGACCTCAGAAGGTTCTGGGCAGAAGCAGAACGGCAAGGACCAGCCCTGTGGACCTTGCGCTGATTATCAGGACGCGCAGCCGTCGGAGTTCAAGGCCACGGAAAGCTGCGCTTTAGATAGATCCTCATGCGAGTTGGTACTAAGTGCAGTTGATGTGGAACCGGCTGACAGGCTGGAGCTGATTCTGGTGACTTCGAAGAGCTGAGAAGACAGCTGGAGGCATGGAGGTGAAGTTAGAGGGAAGCTGGGCATACACCGAGTGGTTTGTGACAGGCTCAGCGGGGAGAGCCCTCGGCAGCTTTTCCTGTCCCGGCACTGAGTCCAAACAAGAGCAGGGGGTGAGGAAGGGGAAAACGGAAAACGCACGTGTCCGAGTCGGATGGCTAAGGAGCAGCTGTTGCAGCTCCGGCTTTGGCCCGCACCCAAAGCAGAGGGCAGAGGCAGGGAGAAGCCTCTGTGCACTCGCATGGAAGGTGTCGAGCGCGGAGCCTGGAGGGGCGCAGAGAGGCGCCGGGTAGGGGGTGGCGGTCAAAAGGCCGTAGCACGCAGCCATCATGGGAGGTTGTTGCTATCGCGTTGCTGGCAATCTGCAACGTCGTGAAGCACATCCGCTGGGATCTGAGCAAGAGCTTCTACTGGCTTATTTCAGGGCAGTTCCTCCGAAAGACGAAGAGGCAGCACAGGATAATGCGGAAGGAGATGGAAGCCCCATCCAACGGGCTGAGATATCCCGGCTTATGCATGCACTGCATGTCTATCATGAATAAGAAGCCTTTGGTTACTTTAGTTTGCCTTGCTTGAGGTAGTCTTGCGATGCCACGATTGCTAGGTTAGACAAGGATGGTTTGAAAGGAAGCAAGATACGATTACACCCCAGCTGTTGCTTCACTGTAGCTTGGGGCGGGAGCTCATGCTGTTGCTGAGGTGCCTTTGTCCTGCAGCAATACTTGCAGAAAAGGCTGGACACTGAAACGTCTTCGGACAATCCTGGGCCTGGGACGAGGAGTATCTAGAGCGGATGCGACATGCTTCCTCAGGCCTGGGCTTCTCTCAGAGCTTTGCGAAATGCCGGAAGCTTGGTCCAGGACTTCACAGGTCACCGGAGTGAGGATGTCGTAATCGATTCTTCAGGCTGCAATCCCTTCAGTCCGTTGGGACTGACGCAGGCCCTGCTCTTATTTGCTTCGCCTAGCTTTGCAAAGGCTCTAAACTGAATAGGCATCTTGAAAGGGGATAGGAGGGCAGACCGCAACAGCTTCAGATTTGCAGCATCGTTACATCTTGGGTGCACTCAGAGGCATAGCCGCCTTGAGAGTCACTGCCGCCTTCTTGGATGCACGCTTCGGCCAAAGCTCTTTGCTTAGCTTCGAAGACCTTCTTCCCTTTCGGAGTTGTTGCAATTCCAAACAAGACCCAGGTCGATCTGAAGCGTCGCAACTGTCCCAAATGCCCGACCCTTACATCTGTTTTAGGAAGCTCTGCTTCTCCGCGCTTCAATCTGTGCTGTCGTTCTTTGGCGTTCTTGAGGCTGGGCCTTGCCCTCCCCCACGGCATCGTCGCATGCGCCGAAGCCTCGGCGAAGCCTCGGCTCGTCGGCTCGTTGCATGTTCCCCTTGCGGCCCTACGGCCCTACGGCGCTCTGCGCAGCTTCAGAGGCACTTCGGGGCCTTCTCGGGCACCGACCAGCAGACGACCAGTGCGCTGGGGGGGGGGGGGGGGTTGAAGTGTGCAGCACTCCGGACTCTCCGTGGTCTTCGTGGCATGTGGCAGGTTAGAGGCCCACAACGCTGTTCTCTCGGCAGCTAAGCACCAAGTCCCCCTAGTTTTCGTGCTGCCTTGAAAGTCTTGCCGCCCTCAGCTAAGGCCTTGGACCTTTTCCAGATCACCACAGTCAACAACCATCAGAGCTCTGCGCAACTAGGGTACGCCGACATTGCACATGCAATACTGTGGCGGTGTGGAGCCAAGATCTCGCGAGCCCATTGCCTGCAGGCATGCCGGCATGATCCTTGCAATGCTGGAGCTCATGCAAAGAACTGATGTCGGGGACCCACTGTCACGCAGAGGCATCCTCCCAGCATGAAAGCCGTGTCCGTGTGAGGGAGTGAGCCTGGGCACTGTGAGGTTCCCTCGCTAGCAGCAGTGGCTTCCATGCTGCGATGTCTCGAACTCGCAGCAGAGGCTCCTTGCATGGAGAAATGGGCTTTTGAGAGCATGCCAAATGGCCTTCGAACATGTTCTAGGCTCAACGCTCATGTTGTATCAGAGCAAGCAGAAAGTAAGATTTTGTGGTATCATGACTTCAAACTGTCGTGTTTACTCCTGCCTGTGTGCGGCGGACCCGACAAGGTTTCCAGCACAGCAGCTTTGGTCCTTTTTCGCGATTTCAACGGCCTCCAGGTGCCCTTCATCAGTGTACAGCACAAACTTGGAGTGCATTTCGTCTAGTCTTCTCGGTGCATCCACGGGGGCGTGGCGGCTCCTCCCGGCTTGGTTGGTTGAAGAGTCTTTTGTTGCAAGCTGTGCACGATGACGGTCGACCAGGGTTGGGTGCAATGCCCCATCGGAAGGGCACTGTCTCGGGGACTGGGTGATGCAGAAGCGCGAGGCGTAGGTCCTACCGAGCGTTCTCGTTTTGTTCACTGGATAGGTACGGTAGCAACAGTCAGTTGCAACCTGACTGCGCGACACAACGGAATATCGCCTTGTACTGCGAAGGTTTCAGTTAACCAGCCCAGAGACTTACAACAGCAATAGAGTTACCCACGCTCCCTACTGTTGTCTTCCTTAACAGGCTTACAAGGATAAGCTGAAGTTGAGCTTCGGATCTACATTCCTGTAGGAGATAAGCTCAGAGCTGGCCGCTGGGTTCTGCAGCGGGAGGCGTTTTCGTTGCGCCTGCAACGAGAAGTCGAACTCCTGATGGTCCGAAGCCTCGGAGGGCCAAAAAGTGACGGAGACTTCTCACGGTCTTCTGCTTCGGCTGAGGTTTTGGAATTCACCGGCGATGAGGGGAGCTTGGAACGGGATGAATTTGCGCCGGTGCAATTCGCCGCCCTTATGCTTCTGAGGCCTTGGAGATGGAGCCGCCGCCTACAGCGGCACCGCCAGAGGAGCGGCAGAGGTGAGCTCAAACTGCGCCAGTTGCAAGATCCTCCCGGGGGGCGAGACTTGTTAGAGCTGAGCTGCTTCCTGCAGGTTTCGTGCGCTGCTGGAGGAAGTGACCGCTAGGAGACGGCTCTGTCGTCAGCTGCCCGAGCCCCTGCCTGTCGCAAAACTGTCAGCCGTTCCCAGCTTCGCAGCAGAAGTGGGTACTGCGTCTTAGAGCCTCAGGCTCAAGAACATTCAGACAGCGCTGCAGTGCTCGGAGGTCTTGCAGGTTGGAATTCGTCTAAAGCTCGAAGGGACTTTCCGAGATTTTGCTCTGTTATCGAAGGCTGGCCTTGCCAACATCTTTCAGGGTCCCATGATGGATGCCTTGAAGGTCGCAGTGAAGGCGGCGGGATTGACGCCGTGCTATGATGCCATGCTGCCACCTCCCAGCTTGCTTGTATCACCGCAGGCGCCTGTGAGAGTGGGATTGTCTCTCTTCGGCACAGCAATTGACATCGTGTCGAGTGTCATCCAAGATGCTGCTGCCTCAACAGCTTGGCTTTCGGTATCAGCAGTGCTGGTGGTCAGGGCGCAGTTGAACCCTTGTCACGGGGTCCCTGGTATCGGAAGAGTCGACGCAGCCGAGGATCCCTCCAGAGTGCCGCAACTGATAGAAACGAACGTTTTGCCCCGCGCCCAGCGCTTCGTAGCGGCCGCCGGCCGGCTTCCTGAGCAGCTGGACTTCTTATCGCCCACCAGGCCCGCAGTGCTGGGCGTTCTCAGCAAGGAGACGATGCGAAGCCAGCGCCCCGGAAACACGGAGCCAAGACAAGACTCGTTCTGTCGCAGTTTTTGGCAGCTTTTTTCCGCCCGAGGCACGGAGTGCCTGTCCTTCGTGCCCGGCATCCTGGCCTCCGTCGCCTTGCATGCCGTCTGGGACTTGGGCGACAGCGGTGACTAGCCGGGTATGTGTTGCCGCAATTTTCCGTATCCACGATGCGAGTTCTCAGCGGAGTTGCTGTTGAAACTATTGAAGTGTATACTTTGGCCAAGTCCCTTTGCTGCAAGCGGAGCCTTGTGATTCGAAATCACTTTGCAGAGCCACTCGAAGTCGCGAACGCTTTGAGTTGGGCAGGTGGGTGAAGACTTCATCCTGGGTCTCGCATCGAAGCCGCGAGCCCTTTCTTGCCGAAGTTGCTTTGATGATCTACCTGCTTGGAAAAGCGCTTCTTTCTTGGACCGTAGTTGTATTTTGAGATCCTGTGGGGCAGTCTGGTTGGACAAAGGAGTCCAGGTAGGACTGTGAGTCTCTTGGCCGGGAAACAAGGAAGCTATGTTCAGCTACTCCCGAACAAAAACCTGAGCCTAACGGCCCTCTCGTGCACATGGGCAGGCCCGTCCAACTTGTCATCGACGTCCTTGTGGATCCCAGCTTTGTGCCGCTTCTCTACTCGCAGCCGGAGCTCGCCTCAGGCTCTGAGCTCGCTTGTTGGCCCTCAGCCGCTCTCCACAGGCCCTCATGCAGGCATGTTTTTTTTTACTCTTCGGCTCGTCAATCACTTTCGGGACATTTGGCTCTCAAGTTTCTTACATGACCGTAAACCATCACCAGATGGGGAAAGACGCAGCATAGCCAATTGCAGCTTGCCGACCGTGCCATCAACAGCGCGAGTTATACCGGTCTGTCAGATGAAAGTTTGCAGTCCTCGAGCTGTTCCTTGTGATTGATAGCTGATAGCTTCAACTTGGTTCGAGTGCCAAACCCATGATGCGCATTTGCCGAGGAGCTTATCCAGATCATGAGCACGCAGATGGACAAGGCCACGCCATGCCCACCGTTCCAACATGGGGATCTCCCATCCCATCTCAACAGCCACTTTCTGCTTGGCTGGACGTGGCGATCAGATGGTGCCAGCATCAATGCCGTGATTTGGCTTGGTGTGTGGAGGTGTTGAGAAATCGTCCAACAGGGATGTGCAAGCTGACGGAGCATGCTGGCTGCTTAGAGGACTTGAGCATACCGTCAGCGTAGCGTTCTTGGGATAGTTCTCGCAGTACATTATCGTCTGCATTCCCTGCTTTGTCATGTCATGTTTCTTGCTTCAAGCAGGTCTGCAAAGGATTGCTGGACATCTTGAGTGTTTTTCGTTTGATTGTTCATGCTTGCATAAAGCCCCGCTCAGTGGGCACAGAATCCAATTTCCACTACCCATGATTCATGATAGATATGATAGGGAGAAGCTAAGGTGGTCGAAAGTATGTTGTCCAGCCTGCGCGCCATTCTCGAGCAGGCCAAGGCACGGAATGATGAGTTCAAAGCTGTGGGCCCACGCTCGGATGATTTTGATTTGTATTGTAGAGTCTAGAGGCGAGAACAGAATGTCGAGTTTTGCCATGGCTCCAGTGGTAGGCCTATCCGGATTGGACACCTTGGGATCTAGAGGACTGAGTTTGCCATCGATGTGCCATCGTGAGCTCAGCACGCTCTTCCTCGTGTACCCCCCATTCAAGGACCACACAGGTTACTTACCAGATCGGCTTGCGCCTTTCAGCCAGGGCCCATTTGCAGGACTACGAAGACAGAAGGGGGCATTGCACTCCGCTGTGAGACTCTGTGACAGCACCTGAGGCCGATTCTGCTGGTCGCTGCTATCCACGAACGAGCACGTTCTCAAATGCTTTATCGAGAAGTGGATGACTCAGTTGTTTTCTCGAGTCGCCAGGAGTCTGGTTCCATTTCCTTGCATAGATTATGTTTGACATTCTATGACATTTTGTAGTCACTGTGTGCAGGCAGGGGCTGTCTCTCGTTCGAGATATTCAAGAGTTGCCGTGTCGGTGCCTGATCAACCATGTGCAGTGAGCACTGGTCATGCCTTGCAAAGGACAGTGCGGCAGAAGTTAGCAAAGCTTCGTATTTCGCCTTTGTAACTCAGGCCTCCCATATTTCTTTACATCGCTCGAAGGCTCGGGGCTCAGACGGCCTGTGAACCGACCGGTGAAAAAGCTCTTGCCGAGGTCAGCAGCATCCAGTTGCCAGCCTCTTCAACCTACAGGCTGAACTTTAAACCCGTTGCAGAAGTGGATGTTGTTGCGGGCAAGAGCTTGAAAGGCAAAGTGCGAAGATGGTGGTGCGGCGGTCGGAGCAGAGCTTAAAGAAATGCTGGAGACCTAGTTTCGAGTCTGAAGTGGGCAAGATGCCATGAACAAGCGGAGAGTTGATCTGGGACCCCTACCAGATCCGGTCTTTCACATCATGCCATGCTTAATGCAGACCGTGGAACAAAGAGTACTCTTGCTGAAAGTCTAAAGTCTGAGCTGTCACTGATACCACAGGCTGTCCACCAATCTGGAGAAGGCCGGGACCATGGTGGCAGCTGACTGCTGGTGCTTGTTCTGGTTGATGGGGCCAAGGTGCTGCCAATCTTGAAGGAATGCGCGGCTGGTGCCGGTGTCTCAGAAATATTCTAGGACGTAGGACCCAGTTGGAGAGGCCGACTTTCGATGCATCCTTCCAAGGATCCCCATGTGGTGATGTCATCCATGGAAACTTCGCACGTCCTCGCCTTCCTCCAAGCTCTCAGCAGAGTCTGCTCAGTGCCACGTGCTCAGTATGCAGTGGCCCCCTTCGCCCCGGCTCAGCAGCACCGTCCGGAGGGTCTGCCGAGTTGTGCCAAAGGCTTGAGGACCTCCTTTCCATCGCACGCGAAGGCAGCTCATTGCAGGTCATGGAGGCAGAAAACCCATTCGACGATAATGTTTCGTGTGTGGACGGTGCACAGGCCGTCCGACAGTTTCTGGTGGACCTGGCACCCTTGGCGGCGCTCATCTTCGTCGTTGCGGCCTGGCAACCGCATGCAGGGCGGCCTACGTATGGAGTGTGGAGCGTTGCGATTGCGCTGCGTTTGTCGAAATTTCGATGTTGAGATATGTGCAGTCCATGCAGATTCTGAGGACCGAGAGCGCATGCCTCCCACCGCATGTCACGGCCTCGGTAACGGCTCCTCGTGCAAAGTGCGTGAGTGTCCTGAAAGCTTGCTCAAGGCTACCATGAGAGCACCAAGCAAGTCTTCACGCCAAGCTCCAAAGAAGGCCTGATCTTTCCGCCCGGCAGATGAGAACTGAGCAGAAAGCGGCATTTTCGGGCCAGATGCCGCTAGCAGCGCAGGCTCTGCCTGAGCCCAAGGAGTGCTTTGAGCCCATCTCGAGAGTCCAATGCTGCGCTTTGCCTCTGCGAAGGTGCAACAGGGCGGAGGCGGAGGCGAAAAAGCAGGCGATAAAGGAGGTCGCGAGCTTGGTCCGACCCGGGCCGGGCAGTCCGTAAACGGTGAAGACATCTTGTGAGAAACCAGTGCCAAGCCTGAGCCCGTAGAGTTTGGGCCCTTTGGTTCTGAAGGCGAATCGCCCATTCTTCGGGCTGCTCGGGTCGGCTTTCGGCTGACTTGCAGGCTGCTCGGCAAGTCGAGCAGAGTTGAAGTTTAAACGTGCGGCCCTGGCCATACATCTGCTGAGCTGTGCAAATAGAGTGAGCTTGGAACAGCTGCTGACGACGGGAAGCAACGACTGAACGGAGAGTTCGGAGGACTTTGCGTCAGCTGATGCAGCTGTCGTCCAAACTCCAGACCAGAGTGCGACGAGCCGCTTGCCAGAATTCAACCAGGGCCTGCATGGGATCGCAGAAGCACAGCAGCTTTACAGATCCTGTCTTGATGCAGAGCTCGAGCATGCATGATGTTGCTTGCCCAGGGACCTCTGGTAGAGATCTGGTGCTAAGGAAGCATCGGCTGTTGTCCCCTTCACGATGGCGCGATGTTTAGCACAGGTGCGGTGGACTCTTGCAGTGCTCTGCAGCAAGCTCAAGATGGAACGCTTTACCTGAGATCGCAGAGGTGGCAAAGGCTGTTCTGGTCGCCCCACGGCCGCCCAGCTCGCCTGTTGCCTTGCGATGGGTTGCCGAGGCACGAGCTTTTTTCCTTGTAGTGGCCCGGCGCGCGGTCCCATACAGACAGGGCACTTGGAGTGCAGAGATCGCGTGCTTCGACGCAGCAGGTCTTTGACTTGCTGCAGAAGATGCATGAGGAGCAGAACAAAGTTGCCCTTCGAAGCTTAGCACTCTGTGCCTTCTACCAGGCAGATGCAAACTGCTGCCAGGGGGTCGACGCAAAGACAGAAGCTTGCAAGAGCAGCTGTGCAGGCTGGTTGCTTCGAGTTGCTGCAGCCCCTGATTCAGCTCCTCTTCTGCACTGTGCCCTCGAGAATTCAGGTGCTCTTCTAGGTTGTGCTGAGCCAAGGATGTCCTTGGAGAAGATCGGTGATGGCAAGGAGGACCTGGCGGCTGGCACAGCTTTGTCTGCGGTCTGCTCCTAAGATCTTGGCCCCTGGACAGTGCGCCACAGTCGTTGCTCACCGGAGAAGTTTCTCAAGTTGCCGCAAGCCTTACTACAAGCAAGATTACGTAAAGGTGGTTTAGTATGCGTCGTGTGTGGCGCAGTCGAACATGTTGCATTGCTATGAGGCCCTTGGCTACTTCGAGAAAGTAACCTCGACACGAAGGTTTGCAAATGCATACCTCAGAGACGAGGCAATGATGTCCAAGGACAGATGCAAAGCGTCGAAAGCTATTAAGATAAAGAGCGCCTATGGGCAGTCAGGCTGAAGCATGCTAAAGACAACAAGAGGGACATTTGGATACCTGAATACGGCAAGAGAGCTCGACAGGTGAGGGAATCGGCGGAATCGGTGTAGGTAAGGTCAGCGGAATTTGAGAATCAAACGGTCCTTCTTTGCAGGAGATGCTTTGCAAATCCATCCAGGCACTTCCACTAAGTGACTGAAGACTCTTGGTGGTTGGTGGCTTTTTACGGAATGGGCGGAAGAGAGATCGGTGCAGCCAGGCAGAGGCTCTGCGTTGCCTGCTCCCCGTCTGGCGCCACCCTCAATTCGCGAGTTTCCCGCGCTCCAGCTGCTGCTCCCTTCTCAAGGCCGCCTGGCTCAGGGGACTCGGGAGTTGCGAGGGACGGCCTTGTAGCGCCAAGCTGTGGAGGTGTGGCTGCATTTGCTCCAAGAGCCGAAAAGCGAACCCCGCACACCGGATTGGCACCGGCTGTCCGGTCGCAAGCCGAGCTGAGACTGAACGAAGCACAGTGCCTCATGGGACGGGGACGCATCTCACTGAGGCATCCCCGCCCTTCCGAACATCGCCGGCATGCAGCACGTGCAGCACGTACAGCAGGACGGGTGCTGCAAGGGTTTCACAGGTGTGGACATGGCTCTTAAGCCCCGTGCCACTCTGGAAGGAGATGGTCAGAACAGCGGATGGCAACAGGGTGCCAGATGCTGCGGCCAGCCTTATGGCCAACGATCCAGCCATCATCGCTGTCAGTGGCACAAGTGTCCCCACCAGCGGAACCACCGGAACCGCCAACACTCCCAGTGCCAGAACCCCCAGTGGTGCAACATCTGACAGCGTTACAAACATCCAGGGTCTGGGCCTCGTTTGCATTTGGTCGTGGCCCGCAGATCGGCCTCCGGCCTTCCGAGGTACTCTGGTGGATATGGGCTTTTCGCGAACGCAGGCGAGCTGACAGCTCTGCAGGGCATTCTGGAAAGAGCGAATGCAAGTTGCAGTAGGTGAGGACTCTTTTGCAATCTTCATCTCACATTCCGCATTGATGTAGGAATCACATCGTTCATTGCCCAATCAGTCCCCGTTGCCTGATTAGCTTGTTTTGGTATTCCTATTTCACGATGCGGTTTTTCTCCACTGCTTGCCTTGGCATGGTTTCTTTTCATTTTGTCAGGTTCATGTCATCTCGGCAAGCAAGCGCCAGCAAGCTGGATTTTGCAGGTGGACGCGGCACAGCGCCACTTCGGATCCCGAGGCCGCCTGGTGGTTGAGAGGAATCGGCTTTATGGTGCGACGGTGCGAGTGCGTAGCTTCTTTGCGCTGTTGGCTGGAAGCTGCATTTTCCTTACCCCCGCCTGGGAGGACTGGATGTAGATTGTGCCTTCCTGCAGCACACACCCACATGGTGCATGTGCCGTTGCTTTTTCTGCCAGTGCCAGGCTGCAGTCAGACTGAGACCTCTGACATACCGGGTTTTCCTTGAGCCTTGTCAATAAACATCATCAAAGGGCACCGGAGTTGTAGCGAGCTCGGCTAGATTTTGAATTGCTAGGTTTCTATATTCTAGAATGGCATGAAGCATGTAACGTCAGGAACATGCAATGTCTCAACGGTCACAGGTGCAAGTGCACGATGCGGCTGTGGTTTCAATTTGGGATGTTGAAGCAGAGCTACCTGGATGCAGGCACAGAAGACATAAGCGAGATGATCGTGTGGATGGTCACGTGCCTACTGTGGTGATATCCGCCAAGATAGAAAGACGAGGCATCGTACTTGACAGCCCTTGCAGGTTGCGAACCCAACGGTTGACGGCGAGGCCCGGCCGGGCATTGTGTCTGTCAGGTGCATCTCACAGCATTGCAGCACTGCATAGCACTGTCCTTCAAACAGAAACCACGGTAACAAGAAAAGGCAAGCCAAATGTGGAGCGTCCATGCGAAGCGAAGTGTCGGTGCCAGGTTTCGGAGACACTGCGACAGCCTGTGCGCAGCCCGGGATTTCGGAAATGAGGATGACATCACGGATAGCTGTAGCGGTGTTCTTCTTCCTTGAGATGTGAGGTGGTTCAGGAAGAGTTCCAGACCCTGCTGGCAGGCTTGCTGGATGCGGGCTTCCTAGCTTTGGCTCACTTCGGAGCATCGCATGAAGGCTTAAAGTGGTCGATCTCCACAACCAGACCCCAAATCCTCAGTAGAGTCTTGCTGTTCAAGTCTGTTCCTCACGGTGAGCATCCACGGCGCGCTTGAACTGGCACATGCCAAAGTAGCAAGAAAATTCAATTGCAAAATTCAGCGCAGTAGATCACAATTGTCCAAGGATTTGCTCCCGCGGCTCTTGGCCTGCGGACACCAGGCTGGGACAGGCTTTGGTTCTTCAAGCTGTTTCTGCCCCTCCGTGCGCGGTCCGCAAGGTGCAAAAGGCTCTGAATGCGGTCGTGGACACCATTTGTTATGTCGCAGAAAACCCATCGCCGTTCTGGGAGCGTCATGCCGGCAGATTCACGAGCATGTCCCGCTCTGGGTTGCCAGGGGCTTGTTCTTCATTTTCGGCAGCCAGGCCCTGGGGACAGCGATTCCAACGGCAAGGTAACGGCCGCAGAGCGGGGATGTCGCAAGCTTTGCTGATCCCACGAGTTTTCCGATCCTATTCAACATCGGCAGGAACTGTACCTCGGAACCTTGTAGACTCTTTCACCATATGTGCCGAACCTGTGTAGTCGGCGGATGAGCCATGCAATTGCACAGAGTGCCATGATTTCAGGTTTCGTTGCATCCAGGATGCCCCAGCCGCACATGACAGTGCAAAGTAAACTTCGAGCGCTGCCCACAGGCTGTCATACGTGCCTGTGTTGCCGAATTGGGAGATGCAGATGGTCAGCCAAGTTCTGCCGGCTGCCTGCAAGTAATAGGAGTCTGGTTTCAGGTGCTCCCGGGTTTCCTAGTTCATGATGGAATGATCTTCTTCCATCGAACTGCCTGTCCTGACTCTCATTCACTGTAGCTGAGGAGACGCTCATCTGCGTGACGCAGGCTGGGAAGACGTGGTGGCTTGTTCATGAAGGGGTGGCAAGGCTGAGGCTCAGGGGGAAACGTGACGACACTTTGTCTGCCTATCGCCTTGGCTTTTGCTTTACTTTGACTGAGGGTAGACTCTGCCGTGCACGCTGCAGCCACGCTGGGCTCAGAGTCCGACCTGTCAGAATAGCTCTCAGGATTTCTAAAATGATTCTACCGGAACCCGAGCTTGAAAGAAGGCTGCTGAAGACGCAAACCGACAGCAAGAGCTCCTCGGGCTCGTGTTCCACGAAGAGCTCGGGTTTCTCAGGAACTGAGAACTGGTTAGCATCTTTCCAGGAGCAAGCCTGGTTTGACCCTCAAGAGGGTCAGGAGATTCAGGAGACCAAGTCCTCGTCGAGGCGCCGGCAGTGGCGGCTGCAACGGGAGAAGAAGCTCCTCCAGCTCCCCACCTGCACGCAGCTGCCCATACAGACCCAGGATTGGTTTGTGGTTAGGCATCGGGTGAGTTGGAAGTCTAGCGTTCCCTTCCACGGTTGCCAAGGATGAGTTCCGGTTTCAAGATAGGGGCCCATCCCTGTTGCCCCAGCCGCAGCCCAGTGGTGGTTCTAATTCCAAGCGCGCTGCTGAGGTTTCTGGAATGTCACGGATTTTCTTCCGATGTGTGCGAACCGCGGGCGCCCGCTGGCTGCATGCTCTTCCGGGTCGAGACGCTCTACCCGATCCATGTTGCAGCCGAGAAAGGCGAGTGTGAGGTGGTGCGCATGCTCATAGCAGCAGGAGCCGACCCATCTCAGCGCACTTCTCGTGGGCGCACTGCTGTCGATTTCGCCGTGAAGTCGAAGTCACCGCACACTCGCCAAGTGCTGGAGCTGCTGCGCAGCCAGGGCCGTGTTCTGTGCCTTCGAGATGCGGTGAACATGATGCAGAACCTCGACAACTAAAGTAACTAAAGCTTTGATAGGCGAATGACTGAGGGTCCAAAATTCACAGATTTTCCGTTACTGAGAAGGCCCAGTGAAGCGGGTGAGCAGTACTCTGCTCCGTGGATGCTACACTGGTGCCATGCAGACAATTTTATACTTTTACTCCTCTTGGTTTGGGTTCCGATGTCCCACCAGGATTGTTTGAGGCTTCGTTGTTCATCAACGTAAGTCTTTGATTCTTTGCAAGTGACTTTAACACTGGCAAAGCGCTCTAGACTCTCGACTAGAGTTTGAGCTGCCAGCTGGGCCCCGGGCTCAGCAGTCGTTCAAGGAGCAATCACGCCTTTGCGTTGTCATGGTCTAGGGGTCTTTTGTAATGCTTTCCAATGCAGGCACACACATGTGACGTACTTGTATTTGCGCGTGTATCCATTTTTTTACATCTCTCGCTCTCTCTCGCGCTGTTTCTCTTCATGTATACAGATGCATGTCTGCACACATGAGCAAAGCTCTTGCACGAGCCCATCGGTAGCCGTATCTATTGCATAAGTGTTACACATTGATATGATGTATCCATTTATGTGTCACACAAAGGTCGATCCTGGGACCTGCGTTTTTGCAGGAGAAATTTTTGGTCTATAAATGCTTCTAGTTCGACATAGGGCATTTCAGGATACATGTTCTGGTTCAGTGTTCTCGTTCATGAATGATTACTTTCTTCACTTTGTTACGGACTTGTTGTGTGTTTATAACCACTGTCCTTGCTGCAGTTGTTTATAAACACTGCCTGTGTATAGCCTTGGTGGAGGGAGGGACATCCACAGACCTTCAGCCCACCCCCCCGCCCTCGGCCAGCTGTCCCGGTGCTACGGCTGCTGTGCGGCCTTTTGACGTCGACGATTCCAGGCTTGTTAGTTTTGGTTTAGCCTATTCGCTTGTATGAACCGGGTTTATAACCTCTGATATTAGTCATATGCATACGCCTGAAACCCCAACGTTTACAGCCCGTATTTCGTTCCAAGCAACACCAAGTTTATAAACAGAGCCATTGTTTAGAAACGCCCAAGATAATTGCAGCACCTCGGTAGCATTAGTTGTGTTTTTTTGCTTTTGGTGCGGCTACAAGACAAGCGCGAGGTAGGAAGGCCTTGCATGAAGGTGTGCCTGCAAGAAGAAAACCATGGTGCGATCTAAAGTCCTTGCCTTAAAGCAGTTAGACCAGACAAAAAAAGCATGCCCATGAAAAGGACTGACTCTGTAGCCGGGTGTTTTGCACGTCGAAGCCGGTTCACGGACGTGAGTGACGCACACGTAAAACCGAATGTTTCGCACGCAAGTAGCTAAAGCGATACGTCTCACCCCCCCATGGCCACCATCATGTCGAACATACCCGCTTTTCAGGTGCATGATACGAAGCGAGCCTTCCATCCCCATCAGGTCCAGTCGCACAGTCACTACACTCAAAAAGCCCCAAGTCTCGGCACTGGCGTGCTTCGGCGGGAGGAGCCCCAGGCTTAGCAAATGATTTTGACGTGGCTATCTTCTCCGCAGAAGGGCAGGGAGGGTAAAACCTTAATGTTTCCATCAAGGACAAGGACTCGGAGGTTCCTGTGTGCACATCGAAGAGCAGCACCACAACATCGTGCAGGACGAGGGCGACATCAAAGCCAACATGCAGGATCCGGAGGACACGAACATCATCACGGACGCAGGAAAGATTTCTTTCTTCAGAAGACGAGGCTATTTATGGGAGGGTCGGTGGGAATGATTCTGCAGTCAGAAGTCGAGGTTATTTATGGGAAGGGTGAGGGAAAATGAGCACCAGCATACCAGCAACGGCCAACTAGAAATGCCAGGGTCATGCGGCTCGCTAAGTTGCCGGGCCTCGGGCTCGTTTGCAACCACAAACCATCACGAGCAAAACTTGAGCCCTTCGCGCGCTCCTTAATTCGAGCAAAAGCCAGCTAGAAGCTCCAGGGTCATGTAGCCTGCCAAGCACCATAAAACATCCGAACTACCCTTTCAAAGCCAAAGTCAGAGGCCTTGCCGTCAATGCTGGTGCCGGCATACTTTCCAACTATGTTTGTGGACCCTCCTGCGGACGCCTCGGCCCAGACAGCTCGTGAGGAAGCAGGGAAGGTCGGGGCATGTCGCGGTCATTTGGGCTCACACGTATGGCACCTTGCAGGTCCAGACAGCTGCCCTCGCAGCCAAGGTGGACGGTGGCTGCTTATGTTTGTGTGCCTTTTAATCGTTCTTGCGGGAGGAGCCGGTCGAACTGCGCGAGAACCGCGTCCGGGTTTGGTGTTTTCTTTCCGCTTCAACTTCCAGGCTGCTCGGACTTCTAGGCCGAGGTCAGCTTTTGCTCATTAATGCATTTCTCTGCAGGCGGTCCGCAGAGATCTCAGCTCGGACTTCAGCATGCCTCGCGGAGGGAGTTTCGATCGGAGGGTTTCATGCACCCGGCGGCGAAAGACAACGTAAAAAACATAACATAGGAGCTTAGAGCAATGCTCGTTTCTGAAGGTGCCTGACAAGCAGTTCTCCGCGTCGCACTGCGGCCACTTGGCCGCGTTTCATGCTGTCATACGGACAGGGGCGTTGGGAGGCTACAGTGAACAGCTTATCGCAGGCGGGACGCCGTAAGAAACGCAAGAAGGCGAGCGTCAAACCCGTCAGGCCTGGGCCTCTCACGCACGGCTGGGCCGTAGGGGGTTTGGAGTAGTGACTGCGTACCGTGGAGGTCATGTTCCAAAGCCAGGAAGGCGTGGCCGAGATCAGAGTTTCGGAGTTGTCCAAGTCGGGGTTTTGCGCGGAGGCTGTGCTTCCGGTGTGTCTGCGGAGCCGACGCATGTTGCCTGTCGTGCAGCAACGAGACGATCCTCGTAGATGGATGGACGGACTTCTGGACGTCGACCCATCCATTGGGACCGCAGGGGGAGGGGGGGCTTAAAGGGAATGTAATTGTAACGACTTCCGCGCTTGCACATTAAATGGGGTGCTTCGGTTCGTTGCAGGAAGCCGCAGAAGAAGCCCGTGATTCGTGTTCACCGTCCTCGGCGTTCAAGAGACCAGCGCGGTCAAGGCGCTGAGGGACAAGTAGATGCAGTGATAATGCGAAGCACTCGCGTACGGTACAGGCCCCGGCGCGGATGCGGGGGCAGAGGCGGAGGAAAAGCTGCAGGCCCGGACAGCAATAAAGTTTCAGTTATGCTGCGCTATTATAGACCACAACTTGCTCTCAGATGGCTCCGTTGCTCACGAGAAAGCCAAGACGGTTTGCAAGCTTCGTCATCCTGGATGCCGAGCAGGCTTGGGTAGTGCAGAAACCAGCGGCACGCAGCTCTCTGTCACGTTGCTCCCGTGCGAAGGCCCCTCCATGAAGAAACCAGCGATTTATACACAGTCTCGTCGACGTGGACTCGCAGCAGGCCTGGAAAGTGAAGGAGTCCGTACCTGGCAGGTGTCTTTTGTTGCGGTACGCGCAAAGTGAAGGAGTGAGTCAGGGAGTGAGTCAGTGAATGAGCGAGCGAGCAAGTACATGAGCTCCTTTGTACCCGTGCGCAGGAGCGGCAGAGGCACAGGAGGAGTCACAGGTTACAGCTTCGTCTCAAGGCCCAGAGAACAACGGGAGCGAGCAAGTGTTGTCTTTAGCTCTTTCGTACCCGTGCGAAGGTGCGGACCCGGATCAGGAGCTACAGGTTAGAGCTCCGCCGGTTGATCCGGAAGGCCCACAGGGTAACGGGGCTCAACATGTGACCGTTCTTCGAAGCAAGTCTATCACTGCATTCATCGCTCGATCGCAGGTGTGGTGCTGCGCACTCGGAAGTACTGCAAGCAGCCGGCGGGATTACCGGAGGAGTTAACTATAACTGGTCGGAGGACGACGACGTATGACGTGCGCAGCACGAACCGGACTGAGGCTAAGGTGGCTTGTCCAGTTTGTCAGCAGACCTTGACGATAAAGCTGACAGAGCTGAGTTGTATGCGGCGACTCCAGAAGCGACGCTCCGAGCATGAACGTTGGAAGCGTCACCGAGATGCTATAGGCGACTGACACGCAACGAGGCGCGAAAGATCACTTCAAGTTGTGTGGTGCTTGCAGGCCATGCATGGCAAACAGGCATAGTGAACATGTCTTTAACAGCTGTCAGACACCAGCAGCCGTTCCTGCTCGAATCGTGATAGAAGACGATGCTGGTTCATGGAGAGATCGGCATTGCATGGTCTGTCCAGTATTGCCTGCCAGGCGCTGCTGGGGTTATCGGGAGTGTGGGTAGCGAGAGCACAGGGGCCCAGCGGGTTGTCCGGGCTGCGACTGTTTGGAGCTTCCAGGTGGCTTCTAGCATTCTAGCCTTACGTGCAAGTGCTGTGGGCTGACGGGGTGTCCGAGCGGAGCCTTTAGCTATGTTCATTGCTCCTACATTGGTGTACTGGAGCAAACCTTGCTCTGTGGTCTGACGGGGTGTGGAATTGGACTGCGTGGGAGCTTCTAGCTGGCTTTGGCCAATAGCAATTTGCGACCCTATGGAGCGATCGGCGTTGCATGGTCTGTCCAGTATCGCCTGCCAGGCGCCGCTGGGGTTATCGGGAGTGTGGGTAGTGAGAGCACAGGGGCCCAGCGGGGTGTCCGGGCTGCGACTGTTTGGAGCTTTGTTACGTGCAAGTGCTGTGGGCTGACGGGGTGTCCGGGCGGAGCCTTCGAGGTCTTGGGAAGCGGCAGCTTATGGTACATTGTGATCGCAATGTGGCAGGCATCTCGCCACAGCACATGCCGTCAATGCTGTAGTGTACACCTTCCAAGGTACTCAGTGCGTCTACGTCAAGACGATGCGGTGCGCGAGCTATGCTTGTTGCCAAAGCTTCGGACCCAACTTCGTCCGGGAGGACTCGGCAAAGTACAACACAGTTAACTCCATGGTTCGTCAACAACAAATGTGGATTTGCTACAGACTTTGCGCCTACGAGCACCATTTTCAGCGCACTTGCTTCCTTCATCCCTGCCCGTCTACGGTGCA